GAGTATTAGCAAACTAATAAAATTTTGTTTGGCAACACTGTAAAACTTCCATGATTGTCGATTAACGACAAACATTTTTGAAACTTTGGGATGAAAAGAGGAAACTTAAGAAGCTCATCATATGCAAATTTCAAATTTTTCCAATGAAAGACCACAAAATCACAAATTTCTCAAAATTAACTTTTGAAAACTCAACAAAAAGCATCCTCTATTACATTTTAATGTTTTTCTGAAAAACTAATGAAAGGAAAATTTTGGAACTTTTGGGCTAAAAAGACAAAAATTGGAAGTTCATAACATTGAAATTTCAATTTTTTCCAATGAAAGGCCACAAGATAAGGAGTTTTCGAAAATCGAATCTTGACCCTCGCTAGCCAACAATTGACTTTTCGACTCTCTTGCTAGCCAACAGCTATACATATAGAGCGAAAAACAAATAGATGAGCACTCTCACACTCTTTTGCCACTGAGAAGAACTGCCAGAAGTCAATAGTATAGGACTATAGAAGGCAACGAGAAGCCACAAGACAAGTATCGTACAAGTACAACACGTATCGGCCCCTAGTCCACGGCAGGTTTTGAATAGCCTGGGGGTGCCAAGAATCCCTGCGAAGAAAAACAATGCTAGATCTCACCCGAAAATGAAAACAAAACAGAGTCTGAAAATTGGCACTTGGAATGTAAAAAGTCTTCATGTTGCCGGAAAGCTGGACAACTTGAGCAGTGGAATGGAAAGATGTAATATAGACATCGTAGGCCTCAGTGAGATCAGATAGCGAGACAATGGTAAATGTACCAAAAAAAAGGCGACACTATACTACTCTGAAAATAACCTACTACACCACTACAATGGAGTAGGCTGCTTGGTCAATATGCAGACCAACAAATTAGTGAAGAACATGGACAAACCCGATTATGAAGTAAATAAACTGTACAAAGAAATAAAAGAGCTAATGGGAGTTGTTGAGAAAAACAAACAGCTCATAATCATGAAGGTCTTCAACGCCTAAAAAGAAAATAAGCTGTACTGCAATAACTATATCGGGGCATATCAGTCACAAACACACTAAGCAGACTATATGGTAGAATCCTGTGTGATTTCATTAAGGAAGATTATAAAGAGAAAGAAGAAGAAGAGCAGTGCGGCTTTAGAGCAGGAAGATCAGGTACAGAAAAGCGAATAGGTAAAGTTAAAAAGTAATAGGATGCCTAAATGGAACCTTGGAGCAAGAAAAAAACAAAGAAGAAAAAATTCAATATATATCTACAAGACGGCTCAAAAACAACTATAGCTGAGTAGCTTCCTGTATGGGACCTCAGTACCTGCTAAGAAACTGGCTAACGTAACAAAAACTTCAGTATTGAATATAGGTAGTGTTGATTGAATGTAGTGTGTGTAATTAAAATTTTAGCACAAACACAAAAGACGTACCTAATTCAAACTATCATTCACTTAAATTATTGAATATTGACTCACAATTAATTATTAAAATGACACAGTATGTTTCGATTTCTGAGGAATGTTAGATCGAGGTTTTCTCTGCCATGCTCTTTCCCTTCGTTAGTTCCTGGATGAGAACGTTACGATTTACTTTAATAATAAAGTAGACGTTTCACAAATTTTTCGTTTCTTTTACATATCACAACTTCCCTTAAATTTTTCAAATATTTGCTATGGCGGGCCCTGTCCAGTAAGTAAAATTGAGTAAGTTTCCACAACGTAGGAACTATTTGTTTTTCATTTCATTTTTCAGAAGATTTGTTGTTTAAAAGATAATAAAAATTCACACCGTTCAATCTTACTGAACGAACCCGCGTATGTTATACTACAAAGTGTTTACTGATATTTTACTGTGCAACTTTTAGTTGTTCCGGAAAATTTCAATTTTTTTATGTTATTTATTAGATTAACTATATTTTTTTCTATAATGTTCATTTAATATTTTTTCGTGATACAGACATCCTTAAGTTAGTTCCTGCATTATATTCTTTACTTCTATAATATTTGTTTCATCGATTTTGATTTTCTCAGCTACATCTTCTTCTTTGAATTCATACAAACTTCTACCAGCATAAACCTCTACCAGTAATCTTTTCCTTTAAGCTATTTCCAATTTCTGAGAAATGGTTTTAAACTCTTTTTGGCCATAATAGAGGATATTGGTAACGAGACATAATTTAAAAATGATGTCACAACCCCTATACGTTTCTTCCTGGGACGTCAGACGTCACAACAGGAGCGTGACCTGGGGGCGTAGGTGGGGTTCAGGTAGAGAGAAACTCGCTTGGTATAGGTACAATAAGACATGTATTGAATAATAATAATATTACCCTAAAAATAGCATCATCTACGGAGGGACTTACTACTTATAGGCCACTCTGTAATATGTACACTCTGTACACTTGGCGTGACTGAAGACTGAAGCTGGGTCCGGAAGGGCGTTTCCCAATAAAGGTAGTTTGCACTGGGAGGAGACTTAGCTAGAGGATTTTTTCCCATTTGAGGTACTTTGCACTAGCCTTAGTCTCCGGTAATGGATTTCGGCGCGGTATTTATACCAAATTGATGTTGACTTGTCGACACTTTTTAGTGAAATTGATGTACAGAGTGGTACTCACTTAAGTAGTTGACAATATTGAAAACATCTCACCTTTCTCTAGAAATTTGAATACTTTAATATTTATATCATTTCATGTATACCTATTCTAGACTAGATTTTTTAGTTATATATTATTTCATTAGACTTTTTTGTTCCAGATATCCACTAGCGCATCATCCAGGTCTTATTGTGCCAGGAAACTTGTACAACGGATCCAGGCAAAGTAGCCGAGCTCACTCTCATCGAAAAACTTCTCGAAATCATCATTTGAGAAGCGGAAGTGAGACAATAATTTGAGCATCAAAAAAGAAGAGTGGTCGCATATTGCAAGATTGAGTTTTGTTTGATGTTTGATAGCGATTTTATCCAAATTTTGAGATATAATTGCTCGTTCCTATTGTTTTCATTTAATGCGAAAATTAACCCTGGGTAGACTTCTTGCTTTTATTGTAAATAGTCTGTGATGTAAATTCTATACAAAGTATTTATTTTACATGTAAATTGGTCGAAATCCAAATACATTTTTGTACTTATTCATAGGAGAGGATGTGACTTTCTCATACTGAAATAGGACTTTGTTTAATTTAATTAAAATTGTTCTGGAATGGATTTGATGCATGTCACAAAAAAAATATTAGGATTGAATACCTACTTACTTTATATTTTTCCTTAGTTTTATAGTATTATTATGTTATATTTGATCTGATTTTAGGTATTATTTAAATAGTATACTATGGGAAAAAATGTCATAAATTGTATGTGCCATATAAGGTTTTTCTTTCAGCTATAGGTACCTACTGTACTGCTATATAAACATAATGTTATTGAATTGAATACCTATGTCATCTTGTGGTAAAGTAACGTAAATAAAAAAATGTTATAATAAATTATTGTGAAAATGATTACTTAGGTACTTAGGTACTATTATTTATAACATTATTGCTTTCTTCAACTAGGTACTATGATTTTTTTATTACTTAGGTACTAAATCAGCCATAATAACTTTTATACTTATATTATGTAGTTACTTAATTCTAAAATAGGAATAGGTACATATTGTAAAATGCCATATATTATTTAAGAAACAAAAAAGTAGGTACTTATGTGTAAAAATAAAGTGTTCCAAGTACTAAAACATGTTTGAAATATGTAATAATAACTCACTTATTTCACGGTTGTTTTAGAATTTATGTAAGTAGGTTTTAAAGTTTAAAGTAACAAATTTTCCTCAAAAAAAAATCAACTATATTTGAAAAAATTGCCTTCTTTCTAATTTCAAACACAAACAATTTGAGTTTTTAGTATATTTTGCCTCGAGCTTTTCGCTGTTATTTGTTAAAATTTCAAATTACTTTTTTCAGTGGATTTTGAGTAAAAAATTTAAATCCATAACTTTATTGAATTTTCTTCAAAACGAAATCAATTATTTGGAAACATGCACAATTTCCTGTTTGAGGTACAAATACCTAATTTTCTCTCCTTTCAATGGATTTTGAGTAAAAAAAATTAATTTAGAATTTTATCTTTACTTTTCCTGAAACAAAATCAAATCTAGAAATTTGACTTCTCAGCAATACCTATTTTGCCCTAAATCTCTCTCAAAAATTGAAATATTTTCTTTCATTGTAGTAGTCTTGTACACATTTAAATTAGAGTTTTTTTATTTTATTTTATAAGCGATTTTGTATAGCGTCTTTTGTGATATATGTTTTAGTTTAAGTTTTTTGTACAATAAAATGATTTTTTATTTATATTTGTGGGTGTTTTATTTCGGAAAAAATGAGGGAGATTTAAAAATATTACATTTCAATTTTTTTTTCTAATACTCCGTTTGCAAAGCATGAAAATTTTTATTCCAAATTGATAGATGAAGCCACTATATAATTTAAAACAGAAAACTCTACCCTATGGGAGTTATGGCCATTTGCAGCGACCATTAATATTCTGGATTATATGGCGAAGGCGATGGCTGTTTGCAACGACCACTTTAGGGGAGAATTTATGATATTTAACGCTTAAAGTAGCATTTTTACATGTAAAAATGTTACTTTATTTAAGCGTTGATTATCGTTAAACCTATTTCAAAATAGTTGGTGCAAACGGGTATAAGATAAGCTTACAGTAATCTGTAATACAAAAATGAATACAGTACGTGGTACAGTACAGCATATAAAAAACGAGCTTTATATCGAATTTTTTTTTTTTTAATTTAAGAACATAAATAGTCCTAAACTACATTAAAATACAAAATATTAACAGAATTATTGCCATTATTGGACACTATTTTGTAATTCAGTTCATGTTCACTAGATGGCACCACGTGCAGAGCAAAATGGAAAAGTTGACTTTAAACCTTAACCTAAAAAAAGATTGTTTACAAGTTTAGTTCGTGTAGCGTTTTAATTTATTTACTTTTTTATTATTATTTCTGTATAAATTAGTGCTATATTATTTCGCTATCAAACTATTAGATTGTCCTAGAAACCTAGAAAAGTTCCATTCTTTTGGATTTTGAATCTCGAAGCCCCATAACAAGAAGAGAAAAAATGACCTTGCTGTCCCTTTAAAGTTTAAAATCCATTAAAAAAAAAAACTAAAATTGATTTAGAAGGCTGATATCTTGGTATGAAAATGGATTTTTCGTGACGAATCAACGATGGGGGCCTGCCTAACTCTGGAACGTGAAGAGGGCAAAGCCAAACGCCGAAGCGAGGAGATTGATAGACAATTAGGAGAGTTTGCCAGGCAGCAGAATAATGTTATCAAGATTTTGCTTCTGGGTAAGTCTTTTTGAGGCGATTTTCTAGTTATTTATTATACCTACAAGCGTGCGGTAAAGTGCACTTTACCATAGTAATTTGCAAGTGAAAAGTAGCACTTTGATGCACACTCTTCTGTAAAGTAGACTGCAAATTCTATTTTTTAGGAACTCATTTACTGTTCCATTGAAATGTCTAAGAGATACATTAAATATATCAATATCTAATTGCTTTATTACGAAGGCGTAGAAGGGACATTTATTAAATTTTTATTTGCTGGTAGAGATGCATAATTAATTGTGTTAACTAATTCGGAATTATTCCCCTCCTATTTAATTCCGTGTTAACTAACTCGGAATTAATCCCCTCCTATTTAATTCCGTATTAACTAACTCGGAATCAATTTCCTCTTAGTTAATTTCGTGTTAAGTAACTGAGAATTAATCTGCTCTTATTTAATTCCGTGTTAATTAACTCGGAATTAAATAAGTCGGAATTAAATAAGAGGGAATTAAATCCCAGTTACCTAACACGAAATTAAATAAGAGCAGATTAATTCCCTGTTACTTAACACGAAATTAACTAGTTAATACAGAATTAAATAGGAGGGGATTAATTCCGAGTTATTGCATTGACAAAACACTCGATTATTTATGAGACCATAAAAATATTCAATCATTTACCCCGGGAATTACGAAACATCAACGACTATTGCCAGTTTCGTGTGTCTGTGAGGAGGTTTTTAGTCGCCAGAGCTTACTATGGTCTTAATGAATTTTACCAGGGTTAACTGCAGATGCATTGAAATCTGTAGATGCGTGTTATATATATATTTTTTTTTTATTTGTTGATCAAATTTTATAATTGTAAGTTTGTTGGTGTATTCTTGTTAATTTCTGTTTTTTATCTTGTAACGATTCTTTTACATTGCACCCTAATGTTAAGATTTTTTTATTGAAGTTCGTTTAAATGTAATAGTGGTTTTAGTTTTTATTGTAATCAATTGCTTTGTCAATGAAAATTATTTTTCTGTACAATAAAGCTTATTTTGATTTGATTTGATTTTGATTTGAATTAACACGGAATTAAATAGGAGGGGATTAATTCCGAGTTAATTAACACGGAATTAATTGTGCATCACTACCAGCAAATAAAAATTTAATAAATGTCCCTTCTACACCTTTGTACTTTATTGAACTAGCCATTCTGTTCAAAGGCGAGTTCATTCCATAATTAGTTCTATGAAAATCAATATGGAACAATGAAAAATTTCTTCTTGTCCTTTGAGGAACTTCTAAAGAAACCAATTTCCATAATCTTGGACTATCCACATTGTTATTCATGAGTTTAAACAGAAATCTAACGTCCAACATAAATCTTCTATTCTCTAAAAGGAGTCCAAATTTAATAAATTGTGCAAAGAGACATAATTAATATCTTGTTTCAGTATTTTAAGTTTGTAATTAATTCGTAAAAATCTTCTCTGTATTTTTTCTAGAATTTCCCTGTATTTGAGATAATGTGAATTCCAGACATAGGGTTGCCAGGCGTCCTGGATTTCGCAGGATGTCCTGGATTCAGGGTCTTGTGTCCTGCGTCCTCCCGGAGTTGTCCGCAGAACACCAAATGTCCTGCATTTCATAAAATCCTTACTCTTAGAATATGAAAAATTTGTTTACTTTTATTTAGGCTGAGCTATTTAATAATTTAACGTGAGAGGCGCGAAAATGCACCATTTTTTTAAATTTATATATTAAAGAAAGGATAAGTAGCCATGGATAGTTTGGAATCGGAACAGAAAGTTCTAAAACCCCACCGAAAAACTAAGTAAATATAGAAAAGAGTGGGAAACTCGAATCAGTTTTCCTGGCTTAAAGAAGATGATAGTTTGTCAAAAGCGTATTGTAAGCTGTGTAAAAAATCGTTTTCATTTGCTTATGGAGGCCTTGGAGAGATAAAGCGACACGCTTTGGGAGCTGAACATAAAAAGCATGAAATAGCATGCTTAATCATACAATTCGTTAGACTGCGCTGTGCAGTTGCATGTTGCATTCTTTACTTTATGCGAACTCCAAGATTATCAGCAAAATGCAGTTGGGTCGGACAAAGGCTAGTTCAATAGCCTTCAATGTTCTAGGCCCCTTTTCGATAGAGTCTACATTGGAAGAGCTGCGTTGCGTATCAATAATACATTTTTTGGAATTTCGACAGATGCTTCAAATCACGGTAGTGAGAAACTCTTTCCGATACTACTTTTGAGTAGGTATTATAAATATTATTTTAGGAAAATAAAAGTCCTGATTTTTTCATTACTGTCCTGCATTTTCTCAACACATGTCCTGCGAATTCAATTTTCAAACCTGGCAACCCTATCCAAACAGGACTGGCATATTCAACAATAGAACGAATTAGGGACAGTACAATAATTTGAAACAATAAATGTTGTTAACTTCCTCCAAAGTGTAACCCTATTAATCTTAAACATTTATTGTAGCTGTTTCCAATATGAATACTAAAGTCAATTTTATGGTCAAAAAATACACCAAGATTCTTGATTCTGTCAACGCTATTAATAATTATATTGTTAATAGAGTAATCAAATATTATTGGATTCTGCACCCTTAAAAATCTCATAACATTACACTTGCCTGTGTTTAAGGATAAACCGAGGGATAAACAATTATTTGAGCACCACAAATTAAAACGCTCAAGATCTTGTTGAACTCCATGACAGTCTGTTATCTCATTAACTATTGAAAATAATTTAAAATCATCAGCAAAAAGTAAAAAAGTGGCATTTTCTATGCATTGACCAAATCATTGATAAAAAGATTGAATAATAATGGCGATAGATGTCCACCTTGAGGCACCCCTGAACCAGCCTTTATGGAAAAAGACAGACAATTATTAGTAGATACAATTTGAAATCTTTCAGATACATAACTTTCTAACCAATTAAGAAAAGATCCAAATAGTCCATACAGTGACAACTTGCTCAAATTAATTTTATGATCAACCTTATCAAAGGCCTTGAAGAAATTTTTGTAGATTGCATCAACCTGACTGAGACCTTCCAAGGCCCTTGCTTGATAAGTATTCAGTATACTCCAGTAACTTACTTATAGTGGATCTTCCACTAAAAAAACCATGCTGACTTAATCTGTGGTTCTAGCAGAGGAGTAATTTTATTAGTTACAATCTGCTCAACTATCTTACTGAGCAAACATATCTTTGAAATTGCACGATAGTTTTTAACTTCACTTCTTGCCCCACTCTTAAAAATTTGTGTAACAAAACTTGTTTTCCATTTCCCGAGATTCCCGAGCCCAATGATTTAGAATAAATTTTATGCAAGATTTGTGCAAGAATAAATTGACAGTTAAATATAAAATCTCATGGTAGGTATACCATCCGGACCTTTCCCTAAGGTTTTTTTTACTTTCAATAGCATGAAACACATCCATCATCTCAATGTCCAAGCAACCCAAACTGAGATCAGACTGAATATCAGGATGTTGATAACATAACAGTCACCAAAACTCATACTATTCGGCAAGGAATTTGTGTTACTTTTATTCTTAGCAAATTTATATACAGGGTGACAATTTGAAAAGTAGCAATCAGGAATATCTCTTAGACAAAAAATATTATCAGGAAGATCTCAAATACGTATCGGGGTATTGGAAGGGGAACCAAATTGAGTCATTTTTTGAGTCACCCCGCCTCACCCCTTAGGGGGTAGCTACCCCAACTTTTTTTTTTCAAATACGAACCTACCTTGTGTTGCACATGGTTTGATACCTCGTTGCTATCCCTTTACAGTCATATAGCAAAATTTTAAATCGGACGATTAGTTTTTGAGATATTGGTGTTTGAAAGTGAGCATTTTTGGAAATTAGTAATTTTGACTATCCCATAGACAAAAAAATTCTATTAATAAAGTTTCGAATACACATCAGCGAAACCAAATAATGTGTTTATCGTAATTCTATCTGCTTCCGCACGTCTCTAAAGATGAATAAATAACCTTTTAAAGGAGCTATCACACAGGGTAGGTTCTTATTTTAGAAAAATTATTAGGAGCGGCTAGCACCTAAGATAAGGGAGTGGGAGTAAGGCAATAAACACATTTGGTTGCCCCGATGTGTATTTGACACTTTAATGACAGAATTCTTTTGTCTAAGAGATAGTCAAAATTACTAGTTTTCAAAATATGCTCATTTTTAAACACCGATATGTCAAAAACTAAGCGTCCGATTCAAGATTTTGCTATATGACTGTAAAGTCAATAGGTTAGATAATAAATTTATAAGCGGAAAGCAAGAAGAATACTCAGATCTTTATTAAAATTAAAGTTGTAAACCATAACAATATTTTTTTTAAACATAAACACTCGCATAAACATTAAATTCAGGTATGGATTTCAAAAAACTTCCATACTTTTGACATTTTTAACTTAAACCGAATTTTCGCGACGAACTAATTCCATGATTCCATGATTTCCATGAGCTCAAACGCTTTCGCGAGAAACTCATGACGTCATGTTAAACGTAGTTCGCCGGAAGCATGGATGCAAATTCAAGCCAGCGGTCAAACTCATGACGTCACAATTGAACTATTGATGAACAACATTCGCGAAAATTCGGTTTTAGTTGGATACTCGGTTGGATACACAGAAACACAAAACAACTGTAATAACACTGGACTGAAAATCGTTTATGTTTTACGTGCACAAGCGTTTGAGTCAGATGTCAAAAAACTCGGGGATTCCCCAATTTGCTTGAAGGAAACAGCCAAACTTTAGGACCTATATCAAGTTAGCAATAGCACATGCACGCCGGAAAATGGCGTTAAGTGATTAATTTGTCGCTTTTTTGTCGTAAATTTGTCGTGCAAAAAAAAAAAAAATTTGTCGCGTTTTTCTTTTTTCTTAAATACCCTGGTAGTGCTAACTTGATATCAAGTTAGCACTACCAACGTCACCCGATATCCCTACAGAAGTTTTATTAAGTGAATAATTT